AGCCCGTTCTGTTCTGGAGTATGCGGACAACTGAGTTGGTGCTGAATGCCATCATTGTTGAGATAGGTAGTAAATTCATTGCTCAGGTATTCCCCGCCACCGTCTGTCCGGAGATATTGAGGTGTAGCAGAGAAGTGATTATGAATAAAGCTGCATAATGTTAGAAATTTTGCAAACGTTTCATGTTTATGATGCATGAAGTAAATCCAGGTAAACCGCGTATAATCGTCGATAAAGGCTACATAGTAGCGAAAACCGTTTATCGACGATTGATTGGTCGGTCCCCAGACGTCGGAATGAATGAGTTCAAACGGACAAGAAGAGGAAATAACACTTTTATTGAAAGAATGTTTGTGACTTTTTGCCATTTTACAAGGTTCACAGAAAAATTCAGAGGAAACTCGAGAGGAACTAGAGAGGCATGGAGCAAAAAGACTAAGTATTCTGTTATTTGCCAAGTGGACGATGTTGTGGTGGCCGTTTGAAGAGCAGTAACCGACGGAGCTGAAGCTACCTGGAGTTTGTAGATCCCGTTATGTAGACGACCACGAAGAAGGGGTTGATGGTCCTGAATATCCTTAATTTTGAAACCATTAGCATCAAAGGTTATAGAAACATAGTTGTCCTTTGTTAATTTGGAAACATATAGTAGATTGTGTGTGAGTGCTGGAACGTGTAAAATATTACAGAGGTGAAGCTTACGGGTCGAGTCCGGTAAAGGAAGCAGGCCTTGTCCATAGTTCTGTATTGGAACAGTGTGTCCATTTGCAACAGAGACCGAATCAAGGCCATTATAAGCGGTGGGAAATTGAACGTTAGAAGCATCCGACGTCATATGAGACGACGTGCTGGAGTCAAGAACCCAAGATTGAGCTGTCGGCGAAGATGATTGAGCAAGGAGTGCTCTGGGTGCAGTTGTTGCTGGAGGAGCGTAGGAGAGATTGCAACGATGCCAGCAGTTGGAGGCTATATGACCGATCTTATTGCAGATTTGGCAGATCGGACGAGTGCTGGTGTTACTGGGACGAGGAAGCGCTTGATCAACGTTGGTCGTCGAGCGAGAACCGGTGTTTCGATATTTGTTTGGGCGCTTTGGGTTCTTGTTTCTGGGCTGATTGGAAGAAGTGACATGGTATGCAGCAGTTGTGGCGAGTTGATCTTTCTTGATATCTTGATTGATATGAATCTCCTCTGTGATGAGGAGAGAGTATAGAGCGTCTAAATCGTCCGGTAAGGAAGAGGAACGTATGTATGTTTTGAACGAGTTGTTTGTAGGCAGGAGTCCGTTGAGGATGTACAGTACAATGTCCTCAGGATCGATCTTGGTGCCCGATGCCACAATGTTATCTACGATGTTCTTGACTTGAGCCAAGTATTGCTGCATCGTTAGATTATTCATCTGTATGTGATGTAACTCATTCTTAAGTTGAATGATACGGGAGCGGCTGGAGGACTGCAACCTGCGTTCAAGAACGGCCCAAACTTCATGAGCCGTGGCCGAGGTAATGACGTAGGGAAGGATGGCCGGTGAGATCGACGAGAAGAGAGCAGAGATGAGGTTGTTATTGATGAGCCGCCAGTGGGCATGATCGGAGGAGGACGGGTCGGTGGGCGGAAGCGTTTTTCCCATGAGATGATCGGCGTAGCCATTAGCAGAAAGATGCTGAAAGATCTGTGTGCGCCAGATGGCGTAGTTGTGGCGGTGAGAGGGTTAGGAATCAAGTTCTTGATGTTCGAAATGATGAACTTCAATGTCGCCGGAAGAACGAGCTCCTGGCGTGGTGCAGCAAGCATTGAGGAAGCGGGAGGGAGGGTGGAAGAAGATTATTGGTCCCCCATGATTGGCTCACTTATACCATGAAAGAGAACGAATTGATGAAGACAGAAGAAGAAGACAGAGCAGTTGAAGAAAATAAAGAGGGAAAATGTATATTCAAATAATGTAAAGGGTACAATGTTTAAATAGAGAAAATGAAGATAATAACGTGCTTCAGGTACAGTTTATCTTAAACTAATCCTTGTTCTAATATTTTGCTCTCTGGATGCAAAAAATTTAGGCTTTGCGGGAGTGTTGTGGCATTGGGGATGGAATCTAGCAAATTTTAGGAGAATCTGGAAGATTCTTTGGTGGCACAAAGACACCGTTGGTCGGAGCTCGATGATGCTTGGCAGAATTAGTGTTTTTTAAATAAAAAATATTTAAAACCATTGGCCAAAAAACACATTCCACCAACTGCTTACTAAGGAAGAAAGAATGAAAAGAGAAGGAAGAAGGAAAGTTTTAGAGGCCGAAGTCCAAAAATTGTTCGTCTTGCTAGTTATGATTAGCCGGCTCTCATGTACATTAATTTGGAAATAAAAAGGTTAGAAGTATATAGGAAAGTATGTTTAAATTCGTCATTTAGGTCTTGGGGCATCATAATAAATGTCATGCCTTGCTTATAATTTGACATACATATATAATAGAATTGCAAACATATGTATTGTAGAATAAAGAACAATATAATAATTGCATAAATATATAATAAGCACATAAATGATATGATATATAATATGACCAACACAAATATATCATAAGATTGATATGACTAATATAAGAACAATTGATACATTATATTTGTGCAACATGCCTATAATAGATATAGAATACTTATTTTATAATGATAGGCATACTAGCATAGATAGCATGGCATAGAACAAGAATATATGATATAAACATGAATAGATTCAAGATTTCACCTACCTCATTATATTTGATATGCATATTGAAAAGATAGAATGTAGTTATTCTTTATATAACTATTGATCACTAATAGCTGAGTTGCGACGATTACATTAATTCCTAGTATTCATAATGATTATCATGTGCTTTTACTATTATATGTTCAAAATGATATGATGAATGATCACATGCATATTATTTTTATTATTGTACATTAATTACAGTAGTAAGTTAAAGTAATATATTGGGCTGTTAGCTCATTATGTAGTTTTTATATTTTTCAAAAAGGAGTCTGGACCCTATAGAGTGAGGTTGATATGAGTTGTTGCAGTTATAGGTATTTTTATTTTGATGTTTATTGTTGTTGCCAAGAATGTTCTCTATAGACCAATGTGATAGAATTTTTGGCTATTGCATATGAGTTTTTGGCAGAACTGGAAATGTATATGTGATGTTTATAAAATAGAATGAAATTTTTTTTTTTTTTTGTCTCCGTTGCTTAATTTTTTTGAATGATAGTGGCTTTGGTGATTAATTAGAAGATTACTTAAGTTTTGGGCGACCCATCAACTTGCATCCAATTCATGTTAGCATGTTAGCATGTTAGGAGAACATGTTAAGTTGGGTTGGGTTATGACATGTGCATCAACATAGTTGGCGATGACGGATGACGAAGTCGATGAAAGATGGTATTCAGACGACTGTAGTTGGATGCCCATAAACTGGCTATGATAATCTAGAGATCATAACCATACTCCAGTGGTTGGACGATGGTGGTTAAGTGATGAACTTTAGACGATGATAGTTGGACAATGACCAACATGTATGATGATTGTGGTGATGAACTATATATTGCGGTTCTTATTAGTGATTATTTGTGTTAAAAGGTAAGTGGAGCTTTAAAGCACATGAAATTTCAAGCTTTCTCCAATTTCAAGAAAAAATGGACTATATTTATAGTTTCTTTGAGTGACATTATGATATATTTAGTCAAAATTTAAAAATACACTATCATACGACTTGTATTACTTCTTTTGATCATAAAATATTATTTGAATATTTAGGTTTCTTAACTACTTTGAAATTTGGTTATCCTTAGTTCATTGAATTTTATTGCCACAATGCTTGATTGGACTATAAGTATGCAAGATTTACAAATTGTTTGTTTGTTTTAATTAATATAACAAGATTTTCAATAACGCTTTTAGTGCTTGATTTGACTCATTTAGAGTTAAATTATAGCTCTTTTATTGTTGATGGATCTATCTTATTGAAATGTTCAATTCAACTATACATTTGTTAAAAATAGAGCTCAAATGATAATAAAAATAATTTTAAAAAATATTAATTCGAATATTACATTGATATTCATATTTGGTCTAATATCCCTTTGATATGCTAATAAATTTATATTTTTAATACCTAAAATTTACTACTTAATAAATCTACCATTATATTAGCTTTGTCTCTTGTGTGAAAGAATGTGCAATTCTTTCCACAACAAAGAGGAGAGGAACTCTGGATGAGAGTAAATTAGGGGGAGGCTATTAATGGGATTAGTTGCTTGTGCAATCCTGAAACTCTCTGTTAATAATAAGAAGAAGAGAGGAACCCGCGATGAGAATTTGTTGGGGAGGCCTTTGACATAATCTTGTAGTTTCGAAACTATTGATGATAAAAAAAAAAAGTGCTGAAAATGTCGAGATGGCTGGGCTAATACTGAGAAAAGGGGTATCGATAAAAAGTTAGCATAAAATGTGATGAGAAAGATAATATTTTGAATGCTCTTTAAGAAACTTAGTATTATAAGAGTAAATTTAGTTATTAAATTATAAATAAAATAAATTTTCTATTTTGTATATAAATCTCTCATTTAAATTTTAAAATTTAAATAATATATTTAAATTTATAATTAAACTCATTGACTCTCAATTCAGAAGATATTTTCCTTCCTAATTAAACGAGCCAAGATTAAATACATTAAAATAAAGAGAAATTTACATCCATACAAATAATAATATAATATAGTCCTTATACATTTACATATCTAAAAACTAAAATATTTTATAAATACATCTTAAATTTTAAGTATTAGATATATAAATATATAAAAATTAAGTAATTCTAATATAAAACCCCTAAATTAAATTTTAATAATTAAGAAATCTATATTATGGATGGTGACGGTGCGCTTTTCGGGTAGATCACAGCTCACGAGTGTGAACGATCAACGAAGGGCAAAAGGCGGTTCTTCGGTCTTTCACAGGAATAGCATGTAGCCGTGTAGCCAAGTTGCGACTTGCACGGGCCACGAAGACTTCATAAATAAGAGGCATGGACGACAATTGCCAGACTTAGAGCTACCACCCGTGACCTCAGTTAGCAGACCCCTTCGCTCTCTTTGCCCTCTAGTCCCCGCCGGCCTAGCGGCCGGTGATGGCCGTGGAAGTCGCCGGAACTCTCTTTCATTGGTTCCAGCCGCCACTTCCTTCCGGAAGCTCTATCTCCAACAAGGCCTTAGCCTTCGCATTCTCAAAAAACACTCCCGGTCCATCCATTGCTCATCACAGAGGTCATAAATCGTACTTCCTCGGAACTGCCATTATTCATCGTTCTCATCAAAGAAGAGCGGGGGAACGAAGAAGCAGAGCTCGAGTCCATTGTAGCGCTAGCCTTGATGGATTCGGATTCGTCGATGATGGCAAAGATGACGAGGACGAATTTGAGAAGAGGATCAACGACTTTGCCTCGAAATTTAAGATGGATGCTGAGTCTCGAATGATTCAAGACGCAGAGATAAGTAATAGCGGTGGTGAATTCGCTCCTTCTTCTTCCCCTGTTTCTGGGCCGGTGTGCCCTTCCCTGCTTTCTATTGCGTCTGAAATACGATCGATGCGACCAGATCTGGGGCCGGCCTGCGATGGATTCGAGCCTGATAAGGTTCAGCTAAGAGCGAATAGCTTCGATCTTCCGCTCTCGCTCCGGATTCTGAAGCGGAAGAAGAAGCAGTGGGAATCGGCGGAGATAGACGACTCCGCCTACTCCCCGGTGAAGAAGGCCTTCTCCTCGATGGTGTTCATCGTGCGCGAACTTCAGAGCCACACCATTCGTATGCGTGAAACCCTCTTCTCCTCATCCAAACAACAGATCCAGGGGATTCTCGCCAGGGTCCACGAAGAGCTACACGCCTCCTTCGTTTGGCTTTTCCAGCGTATATTCTCCACCACTCCCACCCTCATGGTCTATCTCATGCTCCTTCTTGCCAACTTCACAATCTTCTCCATCACCGACTACCATGCCAACGCCAAAACCCCTACGCCGTCTATCTCCTCCACCGTCCAAGAATCCCACAGCCCGTCCTCCCGATTGGATTCTTCAGCAGTGAAATCATTTTCCGTAGGAAGATCGGCCGCCGTCGGAGGAAGCGGAGGTGGTGGCGGGGGTAAGAAGGACCCGCCCGTCGCCGGCGCAGCCGACGATGGACGGTGGGATCGGTCATCGTCTTCATTCCATAACAGTGGCACAATTTCTCCTGAAGTAGCATCCACGGCTTCGGCGAAAGAAGAGGATGATGAGAAGGCGTGGAAGAGGATCGTGGAGGCGGCGGAATGTATTCGGGCGAGCGGGCGGCACGAGGCGCTCATGGATCCCGATACGTTGCGGCGTTTCATATCGCCCGTTACGGTTGAGCTTGAGCCGGACGACTTATCGGCATACGCGGCGACGGAGCTGTCGTACCGGCGAGTTCTCGCCGAGGGCCTGGATGATCCTCTCCTTCTCTCCAATTTTGCCCAGTTTCTCTATGTTGTTCTCCGCGACCACGACAGGTAAATTCTTAAATCGCTTATATTATTTGAATTTATTTATTTTCAATTAAAATTTATATGATAATGATGCAAATACAGTTAATTCAAAACTAAGAAAATTTTTGTTTAAAAAATTAGGTTAAATTTTGAGCATCAAAGACATTTTTTCTTTCAGGTCATTTATTTAAAACTATTCCTATTTCAACTTTTCACTAAAAAGTATCAAATCTCAAATTAAAAAAATCAATAAAAAGTAATAATTTATCTTATCTTATAAAAACAATAATAAATCATAATCTTATGATATAGTTTTTTATTAAAGTTTTGGCAGTATTAATATGATTTATTATAAAAATTTAATGTCATTTTGTGTTTTGTAGGGACACTGTACGTCCTGATATTATATTAAATTTCATAACTTTTAACTAAAGTGATGTGCTTTTTTATTTTCAAAGTTAATGTCACATGTTCCAATTTGAATTCTAACTTTCATTATTTTTTATATATCATCAAAACAATTCATCTGAAGAACAAAATATGAATTTTTTACATTTTTTTTTAAATTTAAAATATTCAAATATATTCACTGTAAATTTTAGGATCAAATCCTAATTATGTGAACATTATTTTGAGCACACTCATCATCTGGTTTGTTGAAACAAACCAACATTATAAAAAAAAGTCTGGATTGAGTGATTGAGGTTTTGTTTGGGCCGACTTTAATATAAAAAGTAATAAAAAAGCTGTCTCAAATGAATTGAAGCCCGAGTCCATATCAACTTCAATGATACATTAAAAAACATTATTAAAAACTTTTTAGGTAACATTGAACAAATGCCTTTCAAATTTTGTGCAGTCAAAGTGGTTATCTTGATAAGATAAATCTAATGACTTCAAAATAATTCAATTCAAAATTCATTATTGCACCCACATATTCTACTCCATGTTGGTCAACCATTGACTTCTAATACTAATACCTTGTTACGGATCGTCCAATCTCCTCTCCTATCAAAAACTTTTTTGAAAATTTGCTAAACTGCTAGCATCAACTAGTTTAATTGATCCAGAGTTTGAAATTTGCTGCCAATATTATGGGATCGAATTTAGATAAATTGTTATATTTATTTACAAAACTTTGAATTTAATACAAATTATTATTTTGTTGGTGGGTGCTGAAATGAAGAAGTTTTATATGCAGGGCCGAGGAATATTTTAAGCGGGCGGCAGTGGCGGAGCCGGCGGATCCGGAAGCTTTATGTCGGTACGCGAATTTCTTGTGGGTGGCGAGGAAAGATTTGGGGGCGGCGGAGGAGACCTTCTTGGAAGCCATTGAAGCAGATCCCGGGAACAGCTATTACTCTGCTAACTACGCACACTTTTTGTGGAGCACGGGCGGCGAGGACACGTGCTATCCTCCCGATGCTTGTGATTCATAACGGTCTCCACGATTAATAACAGGCGGGAATAAGTAAGTGGGAAGATCGCTTTAAATATTTACCGTTGTATCTTCCTGTTTCTAATTTTCTCTCTTCTTCTTCTTCTTCGTTTCTAATGCTTCTCAAATAAATTTACGGAAAACATAATTTTGTATATGTCGTTGAATTTGAAAGAATGATTTGAAATGAGTTTTCTTTAATGTTTTGAATATAGGATAGGACCAGCTAATTCAACCGGTTTGACTGTGAACCGGATAAGTTGCCGGTCCAGTCTAGTTAGAAAATTAGATTCTCAATGAATTAGTGAAAACGGTGGTTCAATCGGAAAAACTGTTGAACTGGTTTTGGTTTGATTGAACTGACCGGTTCAATTTACATTATTTTTATTTAAATAAAAATTTAATACAATTTTTTTTTTTAATTTTAAATATATATTTAAAGGCATATATGTAAATAAACTTTATCATGTGCCTTATATAAAGAGGATTAATTTAAATTCTCATGTGATGTGAGGCTAAAAATTTATAGGAATTCGGCATTAGAATTAAAGTGTTGAAATATTAAAAATAAAATTTAAAAAAAAAACAGTTGAATTATGAAATTTCTTCGGTTGTAAATTTAAGTTTGATAATGGATATAATTTATAAAAGTTATGAACATAAAATTTTTATATTATGAAATTTATATATTATGTTCTTATTCTTTTTAAAAATTATACATATTTTTATTCATATAGCTATTATAAATTTTTTTATATTATAAAATTTATATATTAATCAAGCTTTTTAATATGTTTTATGTTGAGCTTTAGGCTCCGTTTGGGACAACTTTTTTATTACTTCTTAAAGTTTTAATTTTGTACTAAAAAGCTGCTTTAAGAAACATTAAGAAAGCCATTCCAAAACGAAGCCTAAGTCCCATGTTAGGGATAGATTTTTTGGATGCACAGGGTTGGGAGAGTCCCATATTGAGAGCATAACAAAATTTTGGATTTTAAATATAGTATGGTGCCCCTTATCCTTTTGATTTGAAGATTTTAGATGATGGGTGTTTATTCAGTAGTGCACTAAGTTCATCTTTGTTCTCCTTATTCCACACTAGTAACATTCTCCAAAGAAAATATTTTCTCCAAAAATTTAACTAGTAGAAAATTTATTTAGCATGCTCTAATCTTCAATCCAAACGTCTCCACCTATGAAGAATGAACATCAACATGAGATACAAACATAAGCGTGGACATTAGGATACAACATAATCATAAAAAGTAGGAGATGTCACCATGGTTTAAAATTGCGCAATATGAGGCTCGCCTTGAGGCCCGCCTTTGCGCAATTCCAGTAAAAAAATGCCTCGATGCTTACGCCTCGAATTTTTTTTATGAGGCTTGCGCCTCAACTTGGTTGGGGCCCGCCTCGCCTTACTGGCATGAGGCTTACGCCTCACGCTATATATATATATAT